TCCGATTTACCCTTTTTTGTGCACCAAACGTCTAATATTTGTCAAATGGGATGGAATTTGGCACTTACGACCGAATTGAGTCTAGAAGCTAGTATGTCAAATTTGGTGAAGATCGGTTCAGATATAGCTATAACAACCATATATAATGTTCATCCGATTTGTTATAGTTGTTACCCACAGCCGTAATATGCACTCCGTAACAAAAATATTCAGGGAAATATATCAACTACCGCTCAGAAATATCTTTGTCAAATTTTATCGAGATCGGTTCAGATTTGGATATAGCTCCCACATATATCTTTATCTGATTTCAAATTAATTGTGCACCAAATGGTCAATACAGGTCCGAATTTAAAAGACACAAATGCTTCGGCATATTGAGTCTTTTAAACTTTAAATTATAATCATAGCGTGTACGAACTTTTAATTGTTAAGCGGAGCTCTACTAAATTAGCAAAGTCGGCCTCGCCCGACTTTAAGACTTTCTTTACTGGTTTTTACATCAAGTCGAAAATATGATGTCATGTAAATGGCCGCCGCCACAATTTATTGTCATTTGAACCCTTTTTATGGAATTTTTATAACATTGGCGAAAACTTCCGGCGATAGGTAATCACATTCTTTACAGATATTGTCTTTAAGAGTTAAAAGAGTCTGAGGTTTGTTGACATAAACCCAAGACTTCAAAAAAAACCGCACAAAAAAAGGCTGGAGCGGTCCATTTGGCCCGCAACGTCTTCGAAGAAAAAATATCCAATGACTCCACCAGCAAAAAACCATACAGTGACTTTGGTTAGGTGTAATTGTTCTTTGTGGGTTATGCGCAGATTTTTAGATTATTTACGTACCCGCTAAGATGGAAATGGGACTCACCACTCATGATTATTTTTGATAAAAAATCATCTTCTTCTTGGTGGTGATTAAGGGTGGTTTGAGCGTATGTTAGACGCGATTGGCGGTCAACAGCTAACAGCTGAAACACCATCTGGACTTTGTACGGAAACATTTTCAAATCTTGTACCAAAATTCGCTGTAAAGACTCCGCTGATACCTGTCGGCATGTCGTCTGGTCGATGTCGACGACGTTTTCATATTCTCTGCATAATGGATACTCCGTGGCAGCTTCTTTTGTTGCGCCAGTCTCTTCAAGGCGAGCGGCTAAACGTCGAAGTGTTTCACCAGTAGGCGTTGGAGGGTGATGAAATCTGCGACAAATTCACGTTGTACCAAAGTCACCGGCCGATTATTGGTCAAATAAATAGTCACCAATATTCCGCGTTCTGGAGCAGTGTAGCGTAAAATTGTTTATTAACGTCTATTTTGCATGTGTTTACTACAAAAATTTTGCGCCACATGTTCCCTCTCTCTAGATTTTTCCCTCGCAGAGGACATTAATAATAAGTGCGGACACATAAGAGTACAATCATCCGCGTACGTTATTATTTCTACACCGTCGTAGGTCGTAGAATACCAGAAAGGTGTAGGTTAAACATCACCGGAGATATGGTATGTGTGGAAATTGCATGTTGTTGTGCTTTGCAATTTCCGGATGCATGTTGATGATCAGCTACTGGAAAAACCTCTTTTATGGTGGTTCCTCGGTGGTTCCTACTTCCTAGCTACTTACTACTCCCATACTTTCCATGTATGGATCACAAATTACAATTTTGAAACCTGTCAATGTACAGGGTTGTCCATATTCGACGGACCCATCTGGCAACGCCATAACTTTTGACAGAGATGTCACATCGCTTAATGACATACCGCGTTTGAAGCGTCAGTCCAAGCAGATTTTTACCATGAACCAATACACGCCACGCGAGCGCTCTGAAATAGTTGAAAGTTACAAGAAGTCAATTGTGAAAACTCAACGTGCTCAACGTTAAAAAACTTGAGAAGTGCGCCTTCTAAGAACACCATTAAGCGTTTATACGAAAAATTTTCGACTGGTAAGGCTCTTTCTAATCCGAAGAGGCCATATAAAAGTCGACCAAGGCGATCGGCCGAGAATATCGCTGCCGTACGAGCCAGTGTTGAGAGGTCCTCAAGAACATCCCAAAAACGACGTTCTCAGCAGTTGGGCATGGCTCGGTCCACTTTACAACGGATTATTCGCATTGATTTGCATTTGTTCCCGTACAAAATTCAGTTGACGCAAAGAATGTTGCCTGCGGACAAGCCTCGTCGATTGGATTGGCCCAAAGAGTCATGGGTCCGTCGAATATGGGCAACCTAACTCTAATTCAAGTTTAGATTTCTTCAATTTTGGAGATTATTGGCAGAAGGTTCTAGAAATTATTTATAGTCGGGATTAGCATAATTAACGATGTACGTCTGTCTGTTGAAATCAAGTTACAGCTTATAATTATTTGACGGGCATACTAGTCAGCAGTGTGTCCAGAGCGATTGGTATTTAAATTGAGATATAACTATACCTCCGACATTCGGTATTTCGATTAGTTTAGTAACATTTTCCAAAGAAAATTGTTCACAGTTGGTGCTTAGACTTTGTAATGGGTTCTTCCTCATGTGATCGAAACGTTGTCTATATACAGGGTGAGATGAAAGAACTGCAACCAACTTCCGACTGTTTTCATTTCTAAGCCACTCGTCCAACAGTGACAGCTCATTATATTCTTTACAAGCGTACAAAAGCATTTTGGTGAGAATTTTCCCGAAAAAAAAGTCATTCCTGATACAATTCAAGCGTGATTGTGTGATTTCTTTATATTTGGCTTGAAACCCACAAGTGGCTATCGTTAGATCACTCCAGCATTTAAATGTGAAAAAATTCTTTTGTGTCTCATACAATCGCTCGTTACAGTGCGATTGGAAGTGGACGGCAGAAAACAGGAACATCAGCAGAAACGGTTCGAAAGTTAAAGAAGCGAGAAGCCGAAAAATGGCTCGTGGGCTTAACATATCTCAATATTCCATTCGGCAAATATTGAAAAATGAGCACGGAGTAAAGCCATTGAATTTCCAAAAAGTTAAAGAACTTACACCGCAACAGAAAGAAAATACACTCAAAAGAACTCAAGAGTTGATTCGATTGACCGAAAGTGGCGAACTGCCAAATTTGCTTTTCTCCGATGAGAAAACATTCGTTGTCCAGCAGTTTGTAAACCAAAAAAAGATCGTTTTTACTTGCCAAAGAGGTCAGCTGAAAATGTGCACCTTCGGTGGGCCACCAGAACTCAGCCGATGTTCGCTCTCCGCTCGAATTAATCGACCGTGGCATCAGAATAAGTGCCGAATATTATCGCGAAAATATTCTGAAGGGTATATTAAAGCCTTGGGCACATTTTGGCCGCAGTCCTTGGACATTTCAACAGGACTCAGCACCATCTCACTCAGCACGCGCCACCCAAGAATGGTTACAAAATGAGGTTCCTCGCTTCATTTCCAGCGCACAATGGCCACCAAAATCTCTGGATACCAATCCTTTGGACTATTGTGTCTGGAGTATTTTGGAAAGCAAAGTTGGCACTAAAAAATCACCCCAAGCAAGCGTTTCGCCGGAAGTGAGCCAAAATACCGCAGAGAACTTTAGGACATCGGTTTCATTGCCCGTTTTAAGGCTTAAGGTGACCAATCCGAACAAATCTAAAATTATTCTAAAATTTGATGCTATTTCCGATATATTTTGCTTTCATTCAATAAAATTAAAAAAAAAAACTATGGCGTTGGACTTCTTTGCAGTTTTTATACCCTGCACCACATAGTGGTAAGGGTATTATGTCTTAGTGCATTTGTTTGTAACATGGAGAAGGAAGCGAGATAGACCCATAATTACTTTTGAGGATCTCCATAGAATCACTTTCTGAGTTGATTTGTGCATGTCAGTCAGTCCGTCTGTCCGTCCGTCCGTCTGTCCATGTATTCTTGTGAACAAAATGCAGGTCGCATTTATTATCCAATTGAGATGAAATTTTCCAAACAAAATTTGTTTGGCCCAAGGTCGAACCCTATTGAAATTGGAGATAATCGGTGAAAAATTAGATATAACTCCCACATATATCTTCGTCCGATTTGCTTTTATTATGCACCAAACGTGTAATATCAGCCCGAATAGTATGGAATTTTGCACATACAACCAAATTAGGCCTGAAATTAAGTATGCCAAATTTGATCGAAATCGGTTCAGATATAGCTATAGCTCCCAAATATATTGTTCATCCGATTTGTTATTTTTGTCCTCCGCAGCCGTAATATACACTGTGTAACAACAATATTTGGGAAAATATATCAAATGCAGCTCAGAAATACCTTTGCTAAATTTTAACGAGATCAGTTCAGATTTGGATATAGCTCCCATATATAACTTCCTTCGATTTACCTTTTATTGTGCACCAAACGTCTAATATTTGCCCAAATGGGATGGAATTTGGCACATGCGATCGAGTTGAGCTAGTATGCCAAATTTGGTGAAGATCGGTTCACATATAGCTATAGTTGCCACATATATTGTTCATCCGATTTGTTTAATTTGTTACCCACAGCCGTAATATGCACTCCGCAACAACGATATTCAGGGAAATATATCAAATACAGCTCAGAAATATCTTTGCCAAATTTTATCGGTTTAGATTTGGATATAGCTCCATATATATATTTATCTGATTTCAAATTAACTATGCACCAAATGCCGAATTTAAAAGATACAAATGCTTCGGCATATTTAGTCCTTTGAACTTTAAATTACAATTATAATCATAGGGTGTATGATTAAATTTTCCCATCAAATCTTTTAATTGTTATATGGTTAAATTAGCAAAGTGGTGTAGGGTATCATAAAGTCGGCCCCGTCCGACTTTAGGACTTTCTTTACTGGTTTTTATCTCACACTATAGGTAATCAATTCGTTGTTGATCAACAACATATGCATGTACCAATTTTATATATGTATCCTAGATCTAAGTTGGGCGCCACAAAAGTGTGGACTGCTCACCCTTTCTTGTATCGTTATTTTTGACAATAATTTATTTTCATAATTACAGGTATCATCAGGAGTCAACGTTCTTCAAAAAATTTTGATTTAAAAGAAGAAGAATGAAAATAATACAGCGACAAACTAAAGGAGAAAAGAACGAATTTAATCAAGATTAAGGCGCTCACAAACTCAACAACAACAAATCTACAGTATTGAAGCAAACCAAACAAATAAAACTAAAAAATACAACAAATATTGAATTTTCACAAAGAGAAAATTCGCCAACAGAATCCCATTAAGAAAAGTTGTGGTCTGATCATAAAAAGAGTGAATATTTTTTAAGAACTACTCTCGCCCGGTTATTGCTAAGAAATATCCGACAGAAATACAAAGACAAACAATAATACCCTCCCCCGCCCCAAACACAAAATAAACTAAAAGATAAGCAATTTTCATAAATGGTGTGTATGTGCATTTTATATAGAAAATAAGTGTAAGACAACAAAACTAAGAAAACATTTTTTAAAAGAAAACAAGTCGTAAAACTCCCCACAAAAAAGAAAAAAAAAAATATAAAAATATTGATGTTTTATATATTTACACAAGGATATATGAGTGTTTAAGGATTTTGAGCAAAGACTTTCGTAATTAATAAAAACAAAAAAGAGTTGTATAAGCCCCAACAGGATCTCACTCACTACCAGTACACCCTTAACACAGACACCCACACACACCCACACACGTTTACAACAAGAAGGACTTCCAACGATTTTAAGCTAATCCAAGACGACGAAATTTTCTGTTGAAAAACCAACACGACAACTTTAAGAACTTTCTTCTTTTTAACAACAACAACAACAAAAAAGCAACAACAAACATTTCAATGGTTAACAAATAAAAGAACTTTTTTTCTTTGCAAAAAGGCCAAATTTATTGAAATTCATTATCAACAACAACAAAACAACTTTAAAACTATTTCTAAGGCAGAAGAAAAAACTATTTAAATTTAAAACAAAAAAGCACTGCAATAAAAGGGTTTGTGACTTTAATGATAATTTTTTAATAAAAAAAACAGTTTTTATAAACAATAAAAAGACATTTTATAAAAAACAAAAAAACTAATTAAACGAAAAATTCCAAAAAAAGTAAACAACAATTTTTAGACAAGAGAATAAATCAGACAAATATATTGTTAAGAAAAGGTGATTTTTTTAAAGAAGAAGAAAAGACGTTTCCTTAGAATCTGTGTGTACTAGAGGCGAGTTTAATCCGCATTAAATTAAATATCAACTGGAAGAAATATTACACCAAGTAAGGTAAGTTTTTGAGATTTTAGAAAATACATTAAATATTTATATTTAAATTGGGTACATGGCTACGAAATCAATTTTATATACTCTTCACACAGAGAAGAAATTACATTACTTTATGCTGCGCTAACTTGACTTGACAAATAACACTGTGCAAGCAGAAGTAAATTTTTCAGTTACTTCGAAGTAGATCTAGCAGACTATGAAATTAGAGGTAACAAGTAAAAAAGTTAGGTCGGGCCTAGTTTTGAACACCCAACACCATTTGGAACGAATTTGGCAATTTTCAAAAAAAATAAAATACGATAAAAAATTCTGTTAAAATCTCAAAGATACCGAATGTAGCCGTAATGTTAGGGTATATACGACGACGTGGGCCTTCATAGGCAAATTTTGTCATAAGCCATTACAAAATTCAAATGCGAAACTTGAAAAAAAAAATCGGTGAATAATGTAGGTAAAATCATCAAAATACTGAATATCGGGAGGTACCGTTATATTATGGCTACACGAAAACGTAGACCTGCATAAACAATTTTCTGTCATAGGCTGTAGTATCCATTACGAACGTCAAATGCCAAATTTGAAACAATTCCGGTAAATAATGTCATCAAAATACCGAATTTCGGCAGGTCCCGTTATATGGGGGCTATACCAAGACATAGAACTGCACAGACAATTTTCTGTCGTAGGCTGTAGTGTTCATTACGAACTTCAAACACCAAATTTGAAACAATTCCGGTAAATAATGCCGCTAAAATCGGGAGGTACCATTACAGGGTGAGATAAAAACTACAACAAAGTCAAGCGCCATAATTTTTACATTTTTTAACTTTTGTTGAATGAAAGTAAAAAATTTCGGAAATAACATCAAATTTTAGAATATGTTTCATAATGACCTTTTAACGTCCAATGAAACCGTCAGACGATGTCCTAAAGTTGCTCTGCGGTATTTTGGCCCACTTCCGGCGAAACACTTGCTTGGGGTGATTGACAATTTGATATTTTTTAGTGCCAACCTTGCTTTCCAAAATAATCCAGACACAAGAGTCCAACGCATTGGTATCCGGAGATTTTGGTGGCCATTGTGCACTGGAAATGAAGCGAGGAACCTTATTTTGTAACCATTCTTGGGTGGTGCGTGCTGAGTACTGTTGGGATGTACAAGGTCTGCGGCCAAGATTGTTACGTTCCCAAGGCTTTAATACACCCCCCAGAAAATGTTCGCTATAATATTCGTCATTTATTCTGACGCCACGGTCGATTAATATGAGCGGAGAGCGACCATCGGCTGTTATGGCGGCCCACACCATCACCATGGCCGTCGCTTGAGTTCAAGTGGCCAACCGAAGGTGCAAATTTTTAGCTGACTTCTTTGGCAAGTAAGCACGATCATTTTGTTTGTTTACAAACTGTTGGACAACGAATGTTTTCTCATCGGAGAAAACTAAATTCGGCAGTTCACCACTTTCGGCCAAGCGAAGCCACTCTTTAGCTCTTTTGAGTCTATTTTCTTTCTTTGCACTTTTTGGAATTTTTATGACTTTACCCCGAGGTCATTTTTCAATATTTGCCGAATGGAATGTTGCGATATGTTCAGCTCAGTAGCCATTTTCGGCCACTGCGATGAAGGTTTCGATTAAGTCGCTTCTTTATTCGAACCATTTCTGCTGATGTTGCTGTATTCTTCTGTCCACTTCCTTGACGTCGGGCTACGCTACCAGTAACGAGCGATGGTACGAGACACAAAAAATTTATTTAAATGCTGGAGTGCTCTAACCACTTGTGGTTTTCCAGCCAAATATAAAGAAATCCCTCTGTCACGCTTGAATTCCATCATGAATAACTTTTTTTTCTGGATAATTCTCACCAAAATTCTTTTTGTCGGACTTTTAAAGTATTCTAAGACCTATAGTAGAATCTTATACAAAAAAAAAAAAAATTAAAATATTTTGAAAGACTGTTGTCACATTAAAAGGTAGTTTCTAACCATATTTTGAAAAAAGAGACCCGAAATTACCCCTTTGACTATTCGCTTGTGGGTTAAAATTTCTGATGAAAATAATCCGCGTATTATTGTCTGAAATATTGCCGAAAACACTATATACATAAAATAAACGAATTTCCTGAAATTCTAATCCAAATTTCATAATCGGCATAATTCAACAAAGAATGTAAAAAATTGGCTAAATTATATATGAAAATATGGTTAAAAAATCTTGAAATTATTCCTTATCCTCATTTAGGGTATATATCTATAGCTCAAAATTTTTTTTTAAATATGTCGCTGTTGAAAACAATATTTTAGAAAAACAATTGATGACATTTTTTACGCCCTTCAGCATAGATTATGTTCCGTCATTCCGTTTGTAGCACCTCACAATATTCATTTTACCATTTTTCAATTCTAAGTCGATTTAGCAATGTCCGTCCGTTTTAGAACAATCTCTCTGCTTTGTAAAAAATGGGCAGCCTCCCTTCTGATCTCAAATTTTAGATTTTTGGGGATTTGTTCACAGTTTTATAATCGGGAAATTAGAGTTTTCGGAGTGTTTTACAGTGCTCCGAAAAGCATGATATTGAAATTTCAAAACACTGTACAATATTTATTTGTTATACCCTCCACCATACTATGGAGGGTATATTAATTTTGTCATTCCGTTTGTAACTCCTCGAAATACTCATGTCAGACCCAACAAAGTATATATATTCTTGATCAGCGTAAAATTCTAAGTCGATTTAGTGATGTCCGTCTGTCTGTCTGTCTGTCTGTCTGTCTGTCTGTCCGTCCGTCTGTCTGTTGTAATCACGCTATCTTTCGAACAAATTGAGATAGAAGGCTAAAATTGTGCACGCATGTATATTTTGCCAGTAGGCAGGTTAAGTTTGTAAATGGGCCATGTAGGTCCAAGTTATCATATAGCCCCCATATAACGATACCCCCGGAATCGTTTCAAGTTTGGTATTTGAAGTTCGTAATAGATACTACATCCTAAGTGAAAAAATGAGCCATGTAGGTCCACGCCTTCATATAGCCCCGATATAACGGTACCACCCGATATTCGGTATTTTGATGGTTTTAGCGACATTATTTACCGAAATTGTTTCAAATTTCGCATTTGAAGTTCGTGAAGTTCGATATTACAGCCTATGACAGAAAATTGCCTGTGCATTATAAACAGATTTTTTTCAAGTTTCGCATTTCAATATTGTAATAGCTTGTGACAAAAGTTGCCTATGCAGGTCCACATCATTTTCAAGATTTTAACAGATTTTTAAGGGATTTTATTTTTATTTTTTTTTTTGAAAATTGTTAAATTTGTACCAAATGGTGGAGGGTATTCAAAGTTCGGCCCTGCCGATCTTACAGCTTTTTTACTTGTTTGTGTTACTTTCTACAATTTAAAGTTCTATCTAGCTTAAAAAACACACTTTATTAAACCTCAAATGGCATTTAAATGAGATATATCATTTCACATTTTCGTATAGCCCCCATACAAGGATTCCTCCCGATCATCGGTATTTTGATGATTTTTGCAACATTTTTCCACGGATTTGTCTTAAAATTGGCATTTGTAGGGTTCCAGCTCCGTTGGCGGAACATTGTACGTAAAAGTCCATGAAAACGTGGACCTCCTGATATTCGTTATTTTTATACCCTCCACCATACATAGTATGGAGGGTATATTAACTTCGTCATTCTGTTTGTAACTCATCGAAATAATCATTTTAGACCCAACAAAGTATATATATTCTTGATCAGAGTAAAATTCTAAGACGTTTTAGCCCTGTCCGTCCGTCTGTCCGCCTGTTGTAATCACGCTACAGTCTAAACGAATTAAGATAGGAAGCTAAAATTTTGCACAGATCCCTCTTTTGTCTGCAGACAGGTCAAGTTCGATGGGCTATATCGGTCCACGATATCGTATAGCCCCCATATAACGGTACCCCCCGATATTCGGTATTTTGATGACTTTAGCCACATTTTTTAACGGAATTGTCTGATAATCCACACAAGGAGTTCATTGTGGTAAATTATCCCTTGGAAGAGAATTCTCTATATAGGTCCACGACATCGTATATCCCCCATATAACGGTACCCCCGGTATTTTGATGATTTTAGCCATATTTTCCTATGGTATTATCTGAAAATCCACACAAGGAGTTCTTTCTGAGCACTTTAACCCCTGAAAGGTAACTGCCTATATAGGTCCACAATATCGTATATCCCCCCATATATCGGCACCTTTCGATATTAGATATTTTAATTATTCATTCTGTTAAATTTTTAATGGATTTGATGTTTTGAAAATTTTCTAATTCGTTCCAAATGGTAGATGGTATTCAAAGCTCGGCCCGGCCGAACTTACTGCGTTTTTACTTGTTTGCCTTCCGAATGGTGGAGGATATAAAAAATTCGGGCCGGCCGAACTTAGCCGCCTTTTTGCTTGTGTAAGTGTAAGGGCTAAAAGAAATCTCAATCCGAATTTTTTCTTTTTCTTTTTTGAAATTTGTTCGTTTTGTAAAACATTTTAAATAAATAATGTGACAGGTACTATTTTTTGAAACCAATTGACAATTGATATTTTACTAGCTTTACGCAATGACCTGGAGGTCAAGAGGTATCACGTTGACCTATTCTACTTTTGGGGTCTACGATTTTATTCCTCGTGATAGATTCTTAGCGGTCTTCAGAAGCCAACCCACCTTGACCCAGTATGTTATAAATATTATACCTCATAACATCTTTGTTCATTTTTATATCCTCCACCTTGAAAATGTATTAAAAATGAGATATATCAGCCCACATTTTCGTATAGCCCCCATATAAGAATTACTCAAGATCTTCGGTATTTTGATGATTTTTTGCCACATTTGTCCACAGATTTGTATAAAAATTGGTATTTGTAGTTCGTAGTGGGTTCCAGCTCCGTTGTCGGAACATTGCACGTAAATCCCATATAATATTTCGTATTAACCCCATATAACGGTACTTCCTGA